ATTCTCAATTATTCGCTTCATCATTATACTGCCAGGATGCCCAAGGCGATCATGCCATATTTGAAAATCGGTAGTCCTTTGATCTACCGTGAGGTGTGTTTCAACAACACCTAATCTGGCATAATATAAGCCAGTAGAGAGTGAGGGTAATCTCTCAATGATGCATTTCCTTTTATCAATTATATTGGTGATCAATAAAATTTCACCATCGGTATCACTCATAGTTTCAATGTGATAACCATTTTTTCGAATGTCATGAAAGCTCAGTAAATTTCTTCGAGCTTTAGTGGCCAACAGTGCATACTGTATCACAATTTTCGTCCCCGCAGGGAGAAATATAATGGCTTCTCGAGAGCCTTCAATTAATTTTGCACTGCCACTTATTGTATTGACATTCATTCTTTCCCTTTTCAAACGGAAGAAATATTTTTCGTGTTTCAATATAGTATGTGTCGTTGCACTGTCAATGAAACACATATTTGCATCATTTTGATTGACATCCATTTAACCTTCAAATATAAGTAAACGCAGTATTAATAAAGGCAGATATAAGTATTACAAAATACATTACAAAAAGGTAATATGCGATAATTTAAATATTACAAAACATAATGTAAAATGACATAATATGTCTATCATTGGGGGTTTGCTGGATCTACGACAAAATCCGCTATATCAAGATGCGTTGTGTCGTAATCCAAAAGATCATCATTGGAGTTGTCATCGTTATCAATGTGATTAGTCTCGACCTCCTTCCCCCTTTTCAGCAGTGAGGCTTGATAAAGATCGGCTAGGTGCTTGGCTGTTCTGCAGGTATTGGCCCAATGGCCTTCAATGCCACACCGATTACAACATCCGATTTGACTCTTTCCCTGTTTAGCCTTTTCGGCTATATCCCCATATTGGGGTTTACTCTGCATCCTGTTAACGTCAAAACTGCGGCGATTGTAAGGAGTATATCGACCGCGTTGACTCTTACGACCGCGACCACGTCCACGGCCTCTACCACGTCCTCGGCCTCGTTCAGAAAATGTAACGTTCGCTTCGGGGAACGGACTGGAACCAGTGGGCCGGGACTGATAGTTTTTCATCAGTAACTCATTATTTTGCTCAGCTAATAAAAGACATGCAATGAGCTGTGAGTACTTTTGAAAATTTTTCTCACGATATTGTTGTTGCAGCACAACATTAGAAGCATGAAAGGTAGAGAGAGTCTTCTCCAATTTATCATTCTCAGTAACATTTTCTCCGCAGAGTTTCAACTGAGATGTAATCTGATGGATAGCAGAGTTGTACTCTGTAACAGTTTTAAAATCCTGCAATCGCAGGTTAAGCCAATCATGTCGGGCTTTGGGGAGAGTGATATATTTCAAATGCCCAAATCTCTCCCTCAATTCATTCCACAAATCAAGTGGATCTTTCACCGTCAAATATTCGGACTGTAGAGGAATGTACAAATGATGACGGATGAAAATAATAGCCTTAGCCCGATCTTGGCTTGTAGCCGCATTTTCACTGGCAATTGTATGAACAAGGCCCATAGAAACCAGATGCATTTCACATCCAGGGACCAAGTCAGAAAATTATTGCCGGTGAGAGACAAAGAATTGGTAAGTATAGAATATATATATGTTTATGTATATCGTGAGCAAATATATATATATGTATGTATGATGATGAATGGTGAAAGATGTGTGAATGTGATGTGATTGATGGGTTGAACTATTATTATTCGTGCAGCATAGTACGGAGAGAGATGGAGCAATATTGTGTTGTTCTCATTTTATTTCAACATGTCCTATATATATATAGGCAGAAGTAATATATACATGGCCAAGAATTATACTACGATTTGTCGACGTCATTGATTCGTGTAATAATAAATAGCATCCACGATGAGCTACGTATTGGCTATGTGTATATAATAATTTGTACATATTTTAATTGTTCAATTATATATATAAAAAACATATCATCTTTATAACACTTAAATTTTTATTCTAGTTATTATAAGGAATCACTATTTCATTTAAAAATATAATAACTATATATATTGTTGAATATGTTGGATTCCCATTTGCGGATATATGAATAATGGCTTAATTTTCCTAACAGTTCGAGTTTTTAGGTGAGACGATCATTCAACACTTGGCATGATATTAGAACCTAGGTTAGGTCTTGAGTTCGAGTCCCATTCCCATTTACACTACGTGTAATTTTACAATATTATTGAAAATTTATAAATGACCAAACTTTTTTATTCATCAAAGTACATGGATAATACACACAACCATCTATTTTTTTTTCTTAATTATACACAATTTTTCTAAGTATATAATACTATGACCCGCTTTTATTAGTTTTAACAAAAGCATATATTGTAATGTTTGGTGTACGTATCGTGTATAAAGAAATATACATCGTTAATTGTTGAGTAAGAAAAAACCAATGTATAGGGTTTCTTGAGAATGGGCTTATAAATTGGATTAATGTATAGTTCAATGAGCCTGATAATGGTAGTAGGGTCTTAAATGAAGTGGAGCGAAGAAGGATGAGACGGCCAATAAGGAGGTAGGACAAAAGGAAGACGGACGAAGAAAGATGAGGGACGACACGGAGGTCGGTCAAAAGGAGGTCTGACGAAGAAAGATAAGATGACAGACACAGAGGTTGGACAAGAGGAAAGTGGGCTTCTAGGGGGTCCATTTGAAAGAAAGGTCTGTTAATTGGTTGCTTAATTAAGCGACATGTTAATCGCTTGATCGATTGGCCGGTCATTTGGTCAAACGGTTGTTCAGCCGATTGAAGGGACTGGATGGTGGTCGCTTGATTGGGCGGCCAATGAATCGTCTAGACGAATGGTTGTTCAGCCGTTTGAAGGGATTGAATGGTGGTCGCTCGAGTGGGCAACTGATTAGTCGTTTGGTCTAGCAACCAATTAGTATCTGGATTGGTCGGTTGGTCAATTGTCGGGTTATTTGGTAGGTTCAGTCGGATGGTGATTTATGATCCGTCTGAAAAGGTGACTAGGAGGAGATGTGGGCCTGTCGTTAGGCCCATCAGTTGATTAAACGGTTCTCAAGGGAGGCGACTTGGAGTCGTTCGGGACCAGCCGCCCATTTAAGGAGGTATGGTGTTCAGAGGCGGTCGGTCAAGCCAGTTAAATCCTGTAATTGGCAGGAGCGGTTGGCGAGATGGTTAAGACACGTGTCAATGAAAGAGGAATTGATGGGCGGTTGATGACAGTTGTTGTAACCGACCAGACGACGGTTCAAAACGTTTCTTTAGGAAATATTTAAACATTTGGGTATATTCTGGAAAAACCATCTTCAATCGACATCAAATTCAGTGAATTTCTTTTGGGGATCACCATTTTACTTTTACAGTCTGTAGTATTTATTTTCCTATTTTATTTATGTATCGTACGGTATCTAGGGATTCTTAAATCTCAGGCATTTTATTTTATCAAATTCGAAGATAATTTTTATTTTTCGGATTTTACTTTTTATTGTTGAAAATCGGCATCAACATTAATACTTGCATAATTGTTTGATTTTTACTAGCTAACTGATGAGTATACTGGCACCTATGTGTAGTGAGACCATTTTTTACTAAAGAACTTGGACAAAAACACAATAATCCAATCGATTCCTATTAAATTGAGATACGAAAAATCTCTCTTGGTCATGTATAATTGATTGTTCTAATAATGTTTATGGAATTACTAAAATGACCTCTCATGTTTCAATTTTTTAGTTTGTTTAGGGTATAACATTTAAGGTTGAAGGTTTAGGTATATGATATGCCGCAACAATCATGGAAATATTAATTGAATAGATGCCATACATATTACACGACCAATCTTATTATTTCCTCTTCATATGAGTAGCTATTTATCTTTTTTAAGTGTAAATATACCTCACCAGCAATATATAATACCCCGTCCGTCCCATAAATATGATTTTAATTGAGTTGGGCATGAGATTTAAGGAATATTGATATTATATTGGTAGTTGGTAAAAAATATGGATAAAAAACTTTTTTGCCCTTATGAGTGTATTAGTGTAAAAAGTAGTGACACTTGTGTAATAAAAATGAAAAAATAGAGGTAGTTTTAGGGTGATATATGGTTATTTATGAAAAAAAGGTAAACTAAGACTATTCTATCAGAACAGATGGAGTATTATAAAAGAATATGAGTGTATTGAAATCGAATCAATATGTTATATCAACAAGAGCACACGAATAATCAAATTGTATAATAATAATATCTATTTAATATTTAAAATATTTTATTAATAAATATTTATATTATATAAAATATTTTTTATTTAAAATTAGGATGATAATTTATGTTTTAATTTAAATAATATTTTTTAAAATAAAATAATGTATGTATAGTAGCATTTTTTATTTGAAATTAAAAACAATCAGATATTGTGTTCTTTTTATATATATAAAAAAGAATTATTATATATATTTATTATTTTTATATTATATATACAATTTTTTTATATTTCACATGAAACAAATATTTTTTTAAATTATTTCATAAAATAAATACACCCTATGCAATTTTTTTTTTTTAACAAAAAATATTTTAATTTTTCTGAAAGTAGTTTAATAAACAATAAAGTTTTAATTAAAGTAAATACTAAAACAATAGCGTAAGAACATTATAAAATATAGAAAGTAACTATCCATCATTAGTCCCAAAATATCAATTCGTTGAATTCATTATAAAAATACAGACAAACATGGCCTTCGTCTCCAAATATAGTAAAATTACCAAAATCCAGAGCAGGAGGTTCCAAGAAACCCGTTGCCTTGTCGCCCGCTCCAAATCCTTAACTTGTCCTTTTCTGTAGTAATTAATTCGGCTGTAATTAATTACTTGCCATTGATTCGCAGTCAATCATCCCACCGACACTGTAACAGATGAATCATGAATCTGCTCCACGCCTTTTTCAGCACCAACCGCCGCCATGCCAGAGGTAAAGGATCGCTTCTTATTCCAAAAGCTCCCTCTCCGATTCTGTTCCACTTTTTTTAATTCTTCATTTCACGAATCGACTCTGATTGGGCCTTATGGAATGATTTCAAATTCGAGTATAAATCTTCCATTCGGCTCACGCACGAGCCTCCATTTTCATTCCATTGCGGCTTCTTCTTCACCGATTATGTGCACCAATGGTGTCTGATCTGATTTAGGGTTTGAATTAGGGCTATTCTGATTCTCAGTCTGTTCGAACTGAATTGCTGCATCGAGTGTTGGTTAATTGTCATTGGTTACTGGTTATCCTCCTGTTTGTTTTCGATCCAGATTGCAGTGAGTTTCCTGGATTTACAGCATTACAGGAAACAAAGCCATGGCGGCTGAAACTGCATATAAATCCCCAATCTTAAAACCCTAATTTTTCGGTTTCCCCCAATTTTTTGTTCTGTATTTCCAAATTGCCTGATGCCAATGGCACCAAACACAGTGGTAGTCACATTAGAAAGACCTGAAGGCATTTCTCTAATAGAAGTTAACGATTCATCACCAAACACTGCATTATTTCAGGAGAAGCAGAAATCCACAAGCCCCAAGCAATTCACATGGTTTCTACTGCTCAAAGCACACAGAATCCTCGCCGCAGTCCCATGGCTGGCGACGACTCTGTATGCCGTTTTCGGATCCATCAGGAAGCGCATTGCCACCTCCAATACCAACGAGGAGGATCCCCTCTACAGGGGCAGGTTGTACAGGCTAATTAAGTTGTTTCTTGCTGTTTCTGTAGCTGCTCTGTTGGTTGAAATCTTTGCTTATTTCAATGAATGGATTTTGATCAGTAGAGTGAATCCTTTGGAAGTTGGGAATTTGGTGCAATGGTGTTATGTTGCTTGGCTTGATTTCAGAGCTGATTATGTTGCCCCTTTGATCGTCGCCCTTTCGAATTTTTGTATCGTATTGTTTTTGATTCAGTCGCTCGATCGGTTAGTTCAGTGCTTGGGTTGTTTCTGGATTAAGTATAAAAAGTTGAGGCCTGTTGTTGAAGAAGAGCTTCGTGACATTGAGGTCGGATCGGGTTTCTTCCCTATGGTTCTTGTCCAAATTCCTATGTGTAATGAAAGAGAGGTAATTGGGAATTCGAGATATTGTTGTTTGCTTCTGTTTTTAGATTTTTCTGTTGTTTGCTGATACAGTATGTTTGTGTAATTGTAATTCAAGGTGTACGAGCAATCGATTGCGGCTGCTTGCCAGCTGGATTGGCCGAGGGATCGGTTTCTTGTCCAAATCCTGGACGATTCGGATGATGATCTTCTGCAGCATTTGATAAGAGACGAAGTCATGGCGTGGAAAGACAAAGGTGTGAATATTGTCTACAGACATCGATTTATCCGGACAGGTTACAAGGCCGGCAACCTTAAATCAGCAATGGCTTGTGATTATGTTAAAAACTACGAGTTTGTCGCGATTTTCGACGCAGATTTCCAGCCCAACCCCGATTTCCTCAAACTCACCGTGCCTTACTTTAAGGTAATATTCGAATCATGTATCCATTTTGAGTGTCGTATATTTAGAATCGAAATTCAAATTTTTTTTTTGCGCCGTTTCAGGGCAATCCGGAAGTAGGCCTTGTCCAGGCGCGATGGTCCTTTGTGAACAAGGACGAAAACTTACTTACCCGTCTCCAATACATCAACTTGTGCTTCCATTTCGAGGTCGAGCAGCAAGTGAACGGCATGTTTCTCAATTTCTTCGGTTTCAATGGCACCGCCGGCGTGTGGAGGATCAAGGCGTTGGAAGATTCCGGCGGGTGGCTCGAAAGGACAACCGTCGAGGACATGGACATCGCTGTTCGCGCCCACTTAAACGGATGGAAATTCATTTTCGTCAACGATGTTCGAGTTCTTTGTGAGCTGCCCGAATCCTACGAAGCATACAAGAAACAGCAACATCGCTGGCATTCGGGCCCGATGCAACTTTTCCGACTATGCCTTCCCACAATCTTAACTGCAAAGGTACCATAACACGTATTCGTTCGACAACTTTATTATGGTTGTTGATCCTTTGCTAATCAAGTTATGCTGATTTGACTGGATTGACATATGTTGTGTTATAACATAATATTCCTTTCGTTCCAAAATAATAGTCCAATTTTTCCATTTTTGTTCATTCCAAAACAATAGTCTCATTTCTATTTTTAGTAACCAAATATGCTTATCTTTTTCCAAAACTATCTCTGTCTTTTTACAATAATTACATAAAGTAAGGACATTTTGGTCTTTTAGAAACACTTTTACGTCTACTATTAATAAAATATTATTATTTTTTAATTTCCGTGACTATATTATTTTAGAACGGAGAGAGTATAATGCATTATAAATATGCTGTATATACTGATCTAGTCAAATCGGTATCATGCTGATTTGGTGCTGACTTAACATGATCAACAACTGATCTAAGCCACTTTATTATACTCGACAAAATTTCGCTCGTTTATACCGTTAAATAATTCTAACAGACGCGCTTTATTGTAATAGATATCGACGTGGAAGAAGGCGAACATGATATTCCTATTCTTCCTATTGCGGAAGCTCGTCCTCCCGTTTTACTCGTTCACTCTCTTCTGTATCATACTTCCGGTGACGATGTTCATCCCGGAAGCCGAGCTCCCGGCGTGGGTCATCTGCTATGTCCCCATAACAATGTCGATCCTCAACATCCTCCCGGCGCCGAAATCATTCCCGTTCTTGATGCCGTACCTCCTCTTCGAGAACACCATGTCGGTGACAAAATTCAACGCCATGATCTCGGGGCTGTTCCAGCTGGGGAGCGCCTACGAATGGGTTGTCACGAAGAAAACGGGGCGGGCGTCGGAGTCGGATTTGCTCAGCCTGGCAGAGAGGGAGTCGAAGAACGGCAGCGAGGACAAGATTCAGCGGAGGCTGTCGGAATCGGGCCTGGAAATGCTGGAGAAACTCAAGGAGCAGAAAACAGCTCCGGTGGGAGTGATGAAGAAGAAGAAGAGGAATAGGATTTACCGGAAGGAATTGGCGCTGGCGATGCTGCTGCTGACGGCGGCGCTGAGAAGCTTGCTGTCGGCGCATGGCATCCATTTCTATTACTTGCTGTTCCAGGGGCTGTCGTTTTTGATCGTTGGATTGGATTTGATCGGCGAGCAGGTCAGCTGAAGGTTTTCATCGTTACTACTGTTTATGAATTGGTATATATATATATATGTGTGTGTGTGTGTGTCTGAGTTGAGTATAAGGTGGTTGTGATCTGAATGGATCCATTGATTTCGTTACAGAGGTGAGGTTTCTTTCTATTACAGTTGGGAGAGAAAAACAGAGCAGTAAACGGTATAGATTTGATTCTTTTAATTGTATAATTCACAAGGATTATTATTGACTTTGTTGTTATTGTATTGGTGTTTATAATAGTACTTGTATATGTTTGGTCCCAAACGCCTTAATGATCGGCAAAAAATAAAAGAATAATTCACACATATTCAAATATTCAACTCAGCCTTGACAACTAAAATTCAGTCAACAATTGGTACACATAGTGTCAATATCGACAATCATGATACTTGTTTTTTTCTTTGCTATTATTTAAAAGTGCGTATCGGTTAAACTTCCAACAAAATTTAATACCCTGCAAATTAGACTCGACAAGTCAAATCACACTAGACGAATCATGATGTGACCTGGAGGTGTCGGGGGTTTGAACCCATGACCTCTCGATCATGAGTCCACCACCAAACCACCCATGACACTACATGATATTATTTATTTATTTTTTTTATTATTTTTATTTTTATAACGTGAGAACCCGCAACCGTTACCCGAAAGTATGCACTGGGTAAACCCCCGGTCGAACCTAATACTTTGCAAACCAGGCTCAACGGAAAAGTTACACTAGGCAAACCATGTGTGACAGGTGACCTGAGGCGTCGGGAGTTTGAACTCATGACCTCACGGTCACAAGTCCAACCCCTACATGATATTTACATGGATACGACATGGTTCATACAAATCCACTTATGTGCTATAATTTGTGAGTATAAATATGAATGAAATAAAACACATTCTCATTTACCCCATCAATCACTCAATCTCTCTCTCAAATTCTCTCGAGCATATGCATATGTATTGAATATTTAATACATAACATACATACATAGACATATAATGATTATACATAATAGTTACACTCCATCCGTCACATACACACACAATATATATACATATTATATTATATTATATATTATATACAATATATAAAATAGTGGTTAGCGGTAAAAATAATTAATTTTTCTATTGGTTAATCTTATAATAATATCACAAGATGTTATCAGCATAATTGTTTATTTTAATTTTCGTAAGATAATATTTTATATTTTATCTTTATTATGTCTAACATTGCCAAATAGGAATTTCTTTCCCTCCTCATTTTTGGCCAAAATTATATAGTTTGGACTCGCAACATCTAAATGCATCTAACATTAATGGACTTAAAAAATACCATTGCACCCCGAGCAAGATCGTGCAAAGACCATGATCTTTTTGTGCCATCACATCAATGAGGCAATGAAAATGCAGTATGTGACGTTGGAATCCTTACTTGAATTGTGGGAGAGATTCAAAGAAAGATACTATTATATGAGGCTGACTATGTTGCTAAGGGCGCAAAGCGAATGACAAAGCCTATGGATTTAGGACTTTAAAATAACATCACAGTTGCGCCACTGGCGAAAATATATCTGAATATGATATGATGGAGAAATATTTCTCCACTTTTTATGCCTCTAACATGATTTTGCAGCAGCAGTATCGTGAAAGAGGCTTCCAAAAATATTATGAGTTGATTACCTATCTTTTGTTGGCCGAACAGAACAATGAATTTTTGTTAAAAAATCAGGAATCTCGACCGACAGGTGTAAATCTATTTCCAGAGGCAAATGCAATACAACCGGCGAATCCGGTGCGTGGTCGTGGGCAGGTCAGAAATCAACGAATTGATCGCTTTCGAAATTAAAATCTCTGACGGAGCCGGACAAACACATATAATCACAATAATTATCAGAACAAGCCCCGATATGTGCCAAATCGGCGTTATATTGACAAAAGGCCATACAGACCTCAACAGAGCTTTAACACGGGAAGAAATAGAAACAATAACGATGAATGCACCTGGTGCGGAATCAAAGACCATTGCGCCTATGTTTGTCGCATAGCCCAACACTTGACTGAATTGTATCGGGCCTCAAAAGAAAGATAAGGAATAATTGCCCAACAAATCACGCTGCCCACGATGACACATTTGATGATGTGCTGAATGAAAATATCGAACACCTAGATGCCGATGATCTTCTTAACGTAGTTGATGATGTTAAATGATGAAATATTGTTGTATTTATTTTTGTTATTTTGATGCTTTCTGCCTCACTTTTTTTGTAATACCCCATATAATTTAAGTTTTATTTTGATTATTTTAATAATACATATATTTTTTTTATTTCTACCTTCTTACAAAGATATAAATGTCAAATATTTTGGAACCGATGACAATATATGCTTTATCGACAGTGCTATGACTCACAATATTCTGAAAAACAAAAATTACTTCTCCCATCTGAATATGGGAAAGACCACTATTGTAACTATCAATGGTGTATCGAAAATGATTGAAGGCTCAGGAAAAAACTACTTTATTCTCCCTAAAGAGACAAAAATGACAATTAAAAATGCCCTATTCCCGAGCAAAGATCGAAGGAATTTATTGAGCTTCAGTGATATTTGAAAAAATGGATATCACATTGAAAAATTGAATGAGACAAAAAATGAGTATATCTTGATTACTCAGGTTTTGAATGACAAAAGAATTGTGAATGAAAAATTGCCATCATTTTCTTCCGACTTATATTATTAAAAAATCAGTGCCATTGAAACATTTTGCTTAGTAGACCAAATGACTACTAGCGAATTTAAAACTTGGCACGATCGACCTGGGCATCCTGACAATGTAATGCTGAGGCAAATTGTTGAAAATTCAAATGACCACTCATTGAAAAATGAAAAATTTTGAGTCCGAATAAATTTGCTTATGTTGGCTGTTCTCAAGATAAGTTAATAATCAAACCATCTCCAACCAAAATTGGATTTGAATCCTCAACTTCTCTAGAAAGGATTCAAGGTGATATTTTGTGGACCCATATGTAACACCTTCAGTTGGCTCACACTGGAAATGTTACCACCACACTGCATCATAAAGTCGTCACCTCCTATTTCGGGCCCCACAATACAGTGTTAAGACTAAAATTAACCATAAAAGCGCATTATTATATAACAAAATATGATTTATGAATATTTACAAAATACACTCCTAAACAAGAGATTTTTCTGGTTAAAAATTTACATATAATACAATAGATGTAAGTTCACTAACTCAGCCCGTCTTTTTATATCCCGAGACGTCCCCTGTCCCGGAGGTGCATTGCATACCTGAACCAAATATTTTTCTTCCAAGCAGTCTATAATTAAATCATTTTAAGAACTAACGTGAAATATGTCATGTTATACCTTTTAAAATAAAGTCTAATCTCCGTCAATTATAAAATACGTGTCATGACATGCCAATAGTGAAATGATGCAACAAGGATATCAGACTCGACAACAATGCACATCCACATATATATATACATCCGTTGAAATGAGCAGTCGGAATAACTTCGGTTCTATAATAATAGGCTTACTAGACCATAATCAATAAATAGCCGAAAAATCCTCGGCTCAAGGAAGGACCTGATAAACCCATAATAATATAATGGTCATCCGGTCATTTCCATATACCCACCATACGACTCCCACAATCAATACATGGATAGCCGAACGTTATCCCCATTAACCACAAGACGCCCCATAGTCTGTGATAGCGAAAATAATACCACTTACTAGCCCTATATCATGTAATGTAGTAGAATCCGTGCAACTTGGAATCATCCAAGAGAAACCCGGAAACTCTACTCTTCCTAGCGCGCCCTAACGGGATCACGTTTGGAGTTTGGCATATGATCTTAAACTATCGGTAGACCTCACCAGTGGCCAGCCCAATGAGTGGAACAACACCTAACATGAATGATTAGACCAAATACGTCTAACTACAATGGGTCTAATCCCTAAATGACCGTGCGATTACGTCACCCAGTTGTCTGACTACTATCGTCCACTATCGCCAAAGTGTTACGGTACATCGGGGTCGAATATCCTAACCCTAGATGATGCCCTCGCCTAGCACTACCGCACACGACGACTAAACGATAGATCCATAAAACATATCCGATAAACCGTGCAATATGTGTGCAACATGTTAAATAAGTGAATTTACCGAAAATGGTTGGTGAGACAGCTCACATCTCCTCATTTTAATAAATTCACAAATACGATCAAATATGTATATCAAATATCATAAAATGCGAAGTCTCACACATGCATACGCACACATATATAGATATACATGCACGGACAAAATGATTCACATATATATAGATATACATGCATGGATAAAATGATTTACATAATATCACATTAGCATATTAATCAGAATCGCAAGCAACATGGATACTTCATTTCTTAAAATTAAATTTAATTCCCTACTGCTTATCTCTTATTGACCTTCCTTGACTTTTGCAATCTCACCCAAATATTCTCCAACGTACACCTACCCTATTATTTGCTCAAATCAGATGAGCTATATTCTTATTCATAGGAGCTACCTGCTTATTCAAAAGCTAAATTCTATAATGAGCGTGTTGAGCTACAAACTTTTATATTTATTAGAATACAATATTCTAGTTATAAAACTCTTATACCTCATAATTTTATACCGCTCGATTATTAACTGAAAATACTTAAATATATGAATAAATAGACATGTGCAATAGACTTCCATTTTCAATTCGGCTCGAATCGATACAAAATTCTCATAATATAACACTAAAGACTACGAATAGGCTATTAACTAAAGCAATTAGTCGATTAAATAGCAAAATAGCCACTTATGAATTTTTGAAGAATTTCTAATTTAATATCTCCAATATTTATATTCATATTAAAATTCATAATTAAAGTCTACGTATAGTAAGAAATACAATATCGAAATCGAAATTTAAATCGAACAGCTAAATCTTTTTGTTTCTTTTTCTCTTACTCGTTCTTCCTTTCTCCTCTGCGTTCTTCTTCGAAAGTGTTTGGTATGTTTTCGTTAAACATTTACATACATATATATAATATTATTATTATAATTATTATCATCATTATACTATTATATAATATTCTTTATTATTGTCAAAATTATCATCTTAACCATCCATTATATTTATTGTTATTATTATTATTATTATTGTAAACATTATCATCATCATTATTATATTCTTTATAATAT